GAGCAAAAATCCTAGGTGTGGGACAGATTGTTGATTAAGATGGGCTTTGGAAAGGGAGACTCCTTAACCTTTGTTGTTGAGGAAGGCGAGGATGGTGATGGTGTCAGAAGTAGAAGTGGGCTCAGCAGGACTGAAGAGGAGGCATCCACAGGTGGGAGAAGGCTGCTAATTGGAGCGGAGAGGTTGCAGAGATCTGATGCGGGAGCTGGTCTGCGGAAGTGGGGGCTAGCCCTAAGACCCCGTGGGAGAAGTGTCCAGGTTAACTGTTTTGTGCTAAGACGGAAAGGTCTCAGGGTCCTAGGGGAAATGGAAATACTGAAAAATGCAGCTTTAAGATCTAAGACAGTGAGGTACATGAAGGAGGGTGGCATGGTGGGGAAAGGGGGCTCTGGCTTGGGGAGGACTGCCTCATTGATCATTCTGAGATACTGAACTAGTCTCTAGCACTGGTTTTTTGTCGGAAGGGATTGGAGTATTGTAAGGAGAGTTAGTAGGCTTTAATACATTTGAGGAAAGACGGGCGACTGGGTGGCTCAGTCCTTAGGTGTCTGCCTTCGGCTCCGGTCATCATCCCAGAGTCCTGGGATCTGAGCCCTGAGGGTTGGGCTCTCTGCTCAGTGGGGAGCCTGCTTCTCCCTCTCCCTGCTTGTGTTCCCTCTCTTGCTGTCTCTGTCAAATAAATAAATAAATAAATAAATAAATAAATAAATAAATAAAATCTTTTAAAAAATACATTTGAGAAAAGGAATTTGGAAACGAGGGGCTGCAAGCCTGAGGTTTCAGAGGATGTTGGGGTTTGGAAAGGGAAAAAGTAGGCTCCTTGAGGTGTATAATGATGTGGGTGAGGTGAATAGCCTTGACAGGTTGGGAGGTGTCCCGTATGGACGAGGGACCTGGAATCATAACTGGAGAGAATGAAGTGGGAGTGATGTGTAGGTTCAGTAGGGAGTCCCAAGAATTGGGATTGGGTGTGTACGGGGTGCCAAGAAAAGTGAGCCTCTACTTTGGTCATGATGTCTCGTCCTGGATCGGGGGGGAGGAGATCTGATCTCCCAGGGCACATGACAAGAGCTGGGTAGCTGAAGGGTGAGAAAGAACACCATGAACCCCAGCAACAGAGATGGAGGAGGGAGAAGAGGGTCCTGAAAATCCAGGGATATCCTGGGGAGTGTCAGTTCTTATCCTGAAGAAGTCCCAAGAGATCCCCTGGGATGGGGCTGACCCTCCCCCCTGTTTGGGATCTGAAGACAAGTTTTGGGAGGTGCCCACCCCCTACTTTGAGGATGGGGTCATCACTCTTCAGGCAGGGCAAGAGGTTTTGGGTGGCCCTTTTTTGCTTTTGCTTTTTTTTTTTTTTTAATTGGGACACGGTTTGGACCAGTGGCCAGGCTTACTGCAAGTGTAACAAGCTCCTGGAGGGGACTTGTTGAATGTTTGGGTCAAGCCAGCAGGGTGAGACTTTTCTAGAATAGCTCCGGTAAGGGCAGTAGGCAGGAGTTGATAAACCGGAGATCGTTTTTTTTTTTTTTTTTTTATGTCCCTTTCTCATTTCCTCTTTGATTTCCTCCTCTCTGCTGTTAAAAACCTTGAAGGCTGGGTCTAGTATGTTGGATTGAGGGGTTTGTGGGCTTTATCTAGTTTTGTTTCTCTAATATGTGGGTCCGACTGGGAGATGAAATGCATAGCTAGGTTCAGTTTTCCTGCATGAGAGTTAGGATCAAGGTCGGTGAGTTTTTGAAGAGCCTCAGTGAGGACAAGAGGACAAGAGCAGGATTTTTATCTGATCTCTGGGTGGTCTCCCTATCCTATTCCTAACCGTATAGGTCCCTCCACGATACATCCAGAGGAGAGGGTGAATTACTCAGATTCCTTAGTGAACCTGGCAGGATGCGTTGAAAAAGAGCCAAGCTTACATCTTGTAAGGGAAAGATCTGGTGAGCAGAAGGGAAGGTAGACCCGAACCATGCCTTCTGCTCCAGCCACTTTGCCAAGAGGGAATTGGGGGGCGGGGAGGTTGGGAAGGGCGGCCCCGGAACATGTGTGGGCAGAAGAAGGATCCAGACCTGGAGGCAAGCGCTGAAGGGGATGGGGTGACAAAGGGTCTTGAGGGGAAGGAGAGGGAGTTGGGGAGGAACCAAGGGAGGATCACCTGCGGGTGGGTGGAAAGGCAAAGGCTGGTCAGCAGAGCTGAAGTCTGAGTGGGGAGAACCCGGGAGGGGGAGAGGGGGAGGGGTCTTTGGGGAGAGGAATATAGGGCAAATAGTGGGAAGCCCAGGATGACCAAGTTCGAAGAAAGCTTTAAAACGATGTTAAGGTGGCCGGTGGGCTGGGCGGCAAAGAATTACGCAGAGATTAGAACCCCAAGCAGGACAGAATTTACTCACTCTCCAAGGGAGGAGAGGGGCCAGACATCAAGAGAGATGTCTGTCTGGTGAGATTCTGTAAGGCTGGGCCTTTTAAAGGCTTTTAAGGGTGTGAGAGGGTTGCAGCTGAGCCTGTGGGGGAGGGTGAGTGGGGAGGAGGGATGTCGATGTTTGCTTGGCCCCATAAAGCAGGAAGTGACAAGTTATTGCGGGGTGGGGCTCTTTCTGGGGCTCATCCGGGATGTGGGTTCCCACTAAAAAAGTATGTGCTTTGTCGTTGGAAAAGAACATGCTTCGTGGTGGTGGTCTGTTTTTTTATTCTTTTTTAAAGGTTTTATTTACTTACTTATCAGAGAGAGAAAGCACAAGAAGGGGGAGCAGCAGGGAGAGGGAGAGGGAGAAGCAGGCTTCCTGCTGAGCAAGAGCCTGGGGCGGGGGTGGGGGGGGGCTCAATTCAAGGACCCCGCGATCACGACCCGAGCTGAAGGCTGATGCTTCACCTCACTGACTGAGCCACGCAGGCATCCCGCGGTGGTCTATTTTCTGAGAATGAGGGGGCACCATGACCTGGAAAAGGAGAGAGTCAGGGCCAGGTCAGAAGCCTGAGTTTTGTCTGTGAGCTTGGCTGGAGAGGGGCTTGGAATAAAACACTTTCACCTTAGGCATCCCCTCTGTCTTTAGACATGCTAATTTTTGGTTGCTTATTTTATTTTTTTAAAGATTTATTTATTTGGGGCACCTGGGTGGCTCAGTTGTTAAGCATCTGCCTTCTGCTCAGGTCATGATCCCAAGATCCCAGGGGCCTGGGATTGAGCCCCATATCCGGCTCCCTGCTCAGCGGGGAGCCTGCTTCTCTCTCTCCAGCTCCCTGTGGTTGTACTCCCTCTCTATCTCTCTCTGTAATAAATAAATACAATCTTTTTTTTTAAGATTGTATTTATTTATTTGACAGAGATCACAAGTAGGCAGAGAGGCAGGCAGAGAAAGAGGGGGAAGCAGACTCCCTGTGGAGCAGAGAGCCCGATGTGGGGCTCGATCCCAGCACCCTGGGATCATGACCTGAGCTGAAGGCAGAGGCTTTAACCCACTGAGCCACCCAGGCGCCCCTAAATAAAATCTTTTTAAGATTTTAAATGTTAAGATCTTTAAGATCTTTAATTTTAGATCTTTTTAATTAAGATTAGTTTTAATCTTAATTAAAATCTTTAATTTTAAGATCTTAAATTTTAAAATTTAAGATTTTAAATCTTAAAAAGATTTTATTTGTGAAAGAGAGGGCCTGAGTGGAGGGGGCGGGCAGAGGGAGAGGGACAGGGAGACTCCCTGCTGAGCAGGCAGCCCTCACCCCAGGACTTTGGGATTATGACTTGAGCCAAAGGCAGGCAGATGGTTAACTGACTGAGCCAGCCCGGCGCCCTTATTTTATTTTTTAACTCAGAATATTTGATTTTTTAAAGTAGGCTCTATGCCCTACTCTGTGGGGCTTGAACTCATGATTCTGAGACCAAGAGTCACATGCTCTACAGACTGAGCCACCCAGGTGCCCCTTGACTGTCTTTTTTACTCAATATAGTCTTCATGCCAAAATGGCCCACCCTTGGCCCCTACAGGGGCATTTCTAGAAAGGAGAGAAGTTTCTACTCAGCCATGTGTGGGGGCTTGGGAGGAGAAGCTGAACAGTTTGAATCCATCATATTGGGCAAACCTGTCCCCCATCACCATGGGAACACAGCCTAGGCATGGGCTGGGGAGAGGGGAGGGGCGGGGGGGGGGGGAAGGGGCAGCACTGTTTGGGACAGTCTGGCAGCCGAGCTGGGAGTGGGAGTTGAGGATGGTGGGGGAAGTGAAGCCCCCTTGGCCCCTCTGACCTCTAGGAGCCACTCTAAGTTTTAGTAAGCACCTTTAACCCGAGTGATTGACGCACTAAACATTTCTTTGTGTATTTATGGATCCTGCATTCTTTCCTGGAAAGAACAGAGCACGCCTGCACTGCCCGGGGAACCAAGGACCCAGAATCCCATGCACGAGCTGCGAGTGCCGTAATTACGTCCATAGTGGGCACCATCAAGACTGCACATAATCAAGAATTATCTCAGACCACTGCTTCCCTTAACTGATTAACTGCCCTAAATCCCTTGAAAAATCTCTGGGCCAGGCAGAAACCTTGGAGCTGGTTCTTGGAAGAGAGTCCACCTTCTCCCCAGGTAGCCAGCCTCCTGAACTGCACTCCTGCTCCTTTCCAGTCAGAACCCAGCTCTGGAATACCTGCCTTTCCAGCTTCAAGGAACTGGTTGGGGGGCCAGGGTAGGGGGGGCGGGGCCGGACTGAGGGAGGTCGCGTGAGAAGGGTTTGCTTCTGGGAATCAGAAGTTTCAATTCCCTGAGCAGCTCAGAAGCCCTGATTAAGTCCAGGAACTTTTCTGATTTCAGTTTCCCTATTGGTGAGGCGGGGCAGGGAGAAGAGGGGGGCTGTTCCGAGGGGGTGAAATAACTCTGTCATCCTAAAGCAGCCCCACGAACTCCTCCTGAGCCCTCCCACAAGCTGGGGAAAGTGAGGAAAACCCGGAAGCTCTGCCTGGAGAGCAGAGGTTCTCACAGGAAGTGAACCTGCTTCCCCCAACCATGGCAGACTTGGTAATGTCTGTGGTATTTTTTTATTGTCACAATGTCGGGGGGCGGTAGGGGTACAGGCATCAGGTGCCCTGAGGCCAGGGAAGTTGCTCAGGATCCTGTAGCACCCGGGGTAGCGTGTCCTCGTCCTCCGTAGAGCCCAATCCCGCTCAGAAGTCAACAGTACCCACAAACACAAAGGTCCCCACCCCAGGGCGACAGCAGGAAGTGGCTTGGACGATAGCTGGGATTCCAGAAGGGCTTGGAGAAAGATAACAGAGGAGGAAGGATTGATGGAGGCTGGGAGGATCCCTGAAAGTTGACTTAGTGTCTATCGAGGCAGCAGCTCTGAATTTTGAAGAAGCAGAGAGACTCTTGGGAGGAGGGGTTCCCGCGGGAGGAATGAGTTTGGGCTGGGGTGGGGAGGAACACCGTGACAAGGGCCTGGCCTGTGTGTGTCTGCAGATCCAGGTTTGAATCCCAGTCCCAAATGGTCTGTGGGATGGAATTGGGAACTACGATGGGATGTCCGCCCTGCCACAGCCTGGGTTTCCCCCACCGGACCGGGCATCAGAGGATGCAGTGAGGACATGAGGGGAGATGAGAATATATGAGTAGAATGCTTGGCACACGGTGAGTGCTGAAGGAGGGTGTAGAGTCCTGTGTGATGAGCCCAGTGAAGAGGGCCAGGGAGGCAGAGGGATGGCTCCTGCCCAAACCCCAAGGGTCCCTGGGAACATTCTGGAGTGGGGATGGGGAAGCTTGGGTGTGGATGTCAGTTGGTCTGCCCTCAGCTGCAGGGGAGGCCCTGGGTGCACGGAGATGACATAATGGCATTCACTCCAGGAACTTAAGAGTATGGTCTCCCCTCCAATCAAGGGGTGTCTACTTTTTGGAGTTCAAAGACTTCAGAAGTCAGTGAGCTTCTGGAAACCAAGAAACCAAGAAATAGGCACTCCCCACCCCATGTGCTGCCCTGCTCTGGGGGCAGGCGAAATCAGGGGCGGGGTGGGGGGAGGAGGCAGCCCTGGGCCAAGCGCCCTGTTGGTCCATCCCAGAGGCAGCTCCTTGTCCTCCCCCCCCCACCACCACTATCTTGCCCACCTCCCCCTAACCATGCAGCCATGTGGCTCCCTCAGAACTGGTCTGGTCAGGGAAGCCTTGAAGGGGAAAGTCCAGGCTGTGAGCTAAGGAGACATCATAAGGGGGACTTAGGGTGGCCTGGAGGAGGACAGAAGGTGGCCCCGCCCCGTTCCAGGCCAGCTCCCCACTCAGGGAGCCCTCTCTCCCTCCCCTCTCCCTCTCTGTGCCCTGCCAACTATCCTGTAGGTCACCTCCCCAGACCCTGTCCTATCCTAGACTCCCTCCCTCCCTCCCTCCCTCCCAACCCCAGCTTTCTTCTACCCCAGGCCACCCTTCTTACCAGCAGGCCTCAGGCCAGCAGAGCAGTGAGGCCCAGGAACAGGCACATGAGGACCATCAAGGGGCCGAGTGATTTCGAGGAGCTGCTGAAGCTGGTTTCCCCTTCCTTGCTCCAGGCCTCCTTCTCTTTTCTGGGGGAAGATGTGGGGACAACTGAGGCAGCTGCCAGGGCCTGCACCAGGTCTGGTCTTGTCGCCCTTCAGAATCTCCCCTCCTTCCCCACCAAGTCAGTGGGGAAGAGAGTGGGCCGTGGCCTCTCAAGGCTGGTGTGACCAGAGGGACAAGGCTGGGATTCAAACTCTGTGCCCTGAGCAATGGGAAATTTGCAGGCAAAAGGCGTTCTGGGTCTTGGGATGGGACAGGTGTGGTGAAAGGGGCACGGTCAGGGGCTGCGGTTCAGACCTTAGTCGTTCCACCTCCTCGAAAGCGCCCTGCAGCTTCTCCTTCAATTTCTCAACCTCTCCTAAGGCGGGAGAGAATCAGGGGACCTTGTCAGCACAGTGGTATGGTGGCCGGGACACGGCGTGACAAGTGGCCACATTCTCTGCCTGGCTCTACCCCGGGATCCAACACTGCCTTCAGTCCCAACCTCACGCCACCCCACCTTGGAAACCTGGGGTACTACTTTCCCAACCTTCACTGGATTCTGACCACTCCCTGGTGACCCCAACCCTGGGACTTCCTCCCGCCCCCCCTTGTCCCCTGTCCCTTCCTCCCTCCCCCGCCCCTCCTCCTCCGGGGTTCAGTGCTTGATCCACCACTCCCAATCCCCCTCTGCAGAACCCTGGCTTTATGCTTTCTTACTCTGAAGCTCCTCTCTTCTGGTGAGCTGCTCCAGACTCTGGGCCTTCTCCATTTCCAGGGAAGCAGAAAGGTTCACCTGGGACCAGGGCGGGGGTGTGTGTGTGTGTCAGAGACTGGCCTTCTGGCCTGCGGAGTGGAGGTAACTGCTGCTGGGGGCCCTGGACCTCTCCCCCAGGCCCTGTGATCAGAGGGGCCTGAGTCCAAAGCCCATTCAGGTTTCCCTCCAACCCTCCCTGCACCCCGGTCTCCCACCTCTAAGAATGGCCACAACCTCCCACCCTCCCAGGGCACCTAAGGATGTGATCCCCACAATAGGGGATTTGAGGCTCCCCACATGGGAATTTGGAGGATCCCTATGCCCAAGCCCTCGAGGAAACGCTCAGACCTCATGGGCTATTGCCCAGATTTAGATGTCTTTCCCTAAACCCAGAACATGGGAATTTCTGAGCCCAAGTTAGATATCGTGGGGAGTTTCAAGGTCCCCCATATCAGGACCCACGTGAACATTTCAAAGTCTCCCAGGGATGGGGTGGGTGTATTCGGAGCCCCACCCTTCTTTTGGAGGCTTCAGTGACGTCTCCATCCCAAACCTTAAGATGGGATTTCTGCTGCCCGAGACTGGTGCAGAGAGCAGCTGCTAGCTCTCCCAAAACAGGCCGGAGACTCTTCCCACATTCTAGTGGGGATTTGGGTGCTCTGGGGGCGTTTAAAGCCCTGCCCGATACCAGCACCGCTGAGAAAGTTTAGAGCTCCCCCAAACCCTAGCGGGAAAACCCAACTCCCATTGCGGGGGCCCAGAGGAAGTTTCTCCACCCCCATCTAGACCTGTGGGGGCCGCGCAACCACAGGGCCCCTCCGGGAGTTGCCGGTCTCTTACCACGGTCTGGTTGCAGGTGGCAGCCTCGTCCATCGCCCCCAGTAAGTGTTGCCGGGTTTGGGCTAGCTGGAGTTCCAAGAGGCGGGTGACATTGCGACACTCCTGCTCTGCTAAAAGGCCCTCCTTGCAGGCTTTGCTTTGGGCTTGGACAGCAAAGATGATCACGGCCACCAACAGAGGCAAGGTCAGGACAATGCTCAGCCACTTCCACCCCCACCACTGACTTTGCACCATTGACCCTGATTTTTCAGTCACGAGCTCAGGCCAATGATGGTAAAAAGTTGGTGCCATCTAGATCTGCCCCTGGATGTAGGGAGTTTGGGCAGGAAGTAGGACGTTGGGACCTTCTACCGGCTGGGGCTACCCCCTTATTAACATAGGGGCCGTCCCGACCAATGACACGTTCCGAGACAATCCTCCGACCTAGAGGCTTGAATGGGGCATCCGTAGGCAAAAAACGGTTTGGGCTTTCAGTTTCAATTTGCCAGGAAAAAGGTAGGTTGTTTGCGGTGAATTGAAACCTTGAGCTTTTCTGGCTTGGCAGGGGGCTGGCGCAAGGGGAGCTGGAGCAGCCTGCGTCTGGCCCTCTGAAGTTCCCGCCCCTCTCCCGCTTGTAACTGAGGGTGACAACTGCTGTTACTGAACGTCTCATGCAGGCCGGCCTCATGTTCGTGGGTCCCGGGACCCGAAAAGATCGTGGCTGTCGTTGGCTCAGCTCCAAGCTGGGGAAACAGGCTGAGAGGGGGTTGGTGGACTGGGGGCGGGGTCTGGCTCGAACCCCAGAGGCCACGTTTTGTGTTTAAGGTTCTCCATGGTGGTCACTTAGCATCCCTGCACCCACACAGGGTGTCTGAGGAGGGACTGAAGGCTGGAGAAGCTCTGGTTGGGACCCCAGGATGGAGGCTGCAGTTTCCCACTTGGCCACCAGGGCCGCCCTAGCCCTCAAAATACGGTCTCCCAGAGCCTGTCCTGGCTCCAGCAGGGAATAGGCTCTTACTTCTAGAATCTGCCTCTGCCATCCCAGTGATAAAGTTCTAGAACGTAAGTGAGGTTCGGAGGGGTGAGGTCCAGAGCGGTGAGGTCTGGAGCTGATGACCAAGAAAGAATTCTCAAGACATCTCTGCTGCAAAATGGTGGTTTATTAAAGCACGGGGACAGGACCCGTGGGCAGGAAGAACTGCTGCTCGGGGTTGTGAGGGATGGCAAGTTAAGTACCCTGCGGTTGGGGGAAGGTGAGGGAAAGGGAGGCTTCAACGGAGTTTTCATATGCTAAAGAGGGCCTACAAGGTGCCGGGATATCGGAGGTCTTGAGGCTTGATCAATGTTGTCTTTTTCCTTTTGGCAAGCCATTAACATCAAGATAGCTGGGAGATTCCTAAAGAATGTCACATTTGTCCCACCCAGGAGTGGGGGGGGGGGGAGGCGGAGGTTGCAAAGTGTCAGCCTTTTGCTGGGGTGAGGGGAAGATGGCGAGGTATCAGCCTTTTGCTTTGTCCTCAGCCAGCTTTCTGCTCCCTCATCACCAGGACCCCAAGCAAACCCTCTGAACCTCAGTTTTCCCATCTGTAAAGTGGGGGCAATAGCAGGCACAGCCTCATGGGGGAGGGGGCTCTGGTGAGGAGTTTCTAGGAAAAGGCTTTGGCATCCAGTAGGCGCTCAACAGATGTGCCGGCCAGGGCAGAACGGAGGAAAGGCAAAAAACACAGAAATACTGTCATGGAGCAAGGAGCACATTTTGAGGAAAGACAATCCAGTCTATTTGGGATACGCTGGACCCAAAGAGCCTGGGGAGTGCCCAGGAAGAGGCCTCAGAAGGGGGCTGAACCCTGGAGGGAGGCCTTAGAGGACTCAGACTGCCCTGGCCGCCTCTGCATGTGGCCAAGGGAGCCAGAGCTTCCTGCTGGACATTAGTCTGACCAGAGGCTCCCACCGGCTGCCTGGGACGGCTGGAAGGTTGTCATGTGCGTGTCCTGTGGCTTCTTCAGCTCCAGCGTCCCCACAGCCCAGACTCCAACCTAGGTTCTGTTGGGTCAGCCATTTCTAGGGTTTGTGGTGAGCTGGGCCGAGGGCGGGCAGGGCCACAGCCGAGGCCCAGGCCTCCCAAAAGGCCTGGAGAAGCATCTCTAGGTGCCCAGTTGGACATGCTCCGCCTAGAAGTCCCCACAAAAGCCACTCAGCCCCCAAAGTAGAAGGGATGAGGGATGTCCGTGCTGAAGAGGCCGGGGGTGGGGGAGACTGTGTGTCCCTAGAGAAGGGCCCTCCCTCCCTAGCCAGGACCCCAGGGGCAAACACAAGACTGTCAGCAAAGCTGACTTCGCCCTGTACTGGCTTTCAAACTTTGGGGTCCGTTTGGGCCTGCAGTTGCAGGTCAGAGGCCAAGGCTGTGTACGAATAGCCCTCCCTCTTGTAGGACCTGGATGAGAAGTTTCCTCTAAGCCTCAGTTTCTGGAGCTGTAGAATGGGGATGATAAAAATGAAACTGGTGCACCCCAAAATTCTGCCACTGCAGAGAGTGCCTTACTCAACCTCGCTCTAGTCCCAGCCCTGCAAACAAAAAGTTCTTCCGTAAGATTTTACTTATTTATTTGAGCAAGAATGAGCACAAGCAAGGAGCAGGGCAGAGGCAAAGGGAGAAGCAGACTCCCTGCTATGCAGAGAGCCCGATGTGGGATTCGATCCCAGAACCCTGGGATCATGACCTGAGCCTAAGGCAGAGGCTTTAACCCACTGAGCCACCTAGGTGCCCCTGTCAGTTTTTCTTTTTCTTTCTTTTTTCCCAAATATTTTATTTATTTATTTATTTGACAGAGAGAGAGATCACAAGTAGGCAGAGAGACAGGCAGAGAGAGAGCGGGAAGCAGACTCCCCGCTGAACAGAGAGCCCGATGCGGGGCCCGATCCCAGGACCCCAAGACCATGACCCGAGCTGAAGGCAGAGGCTTTAAGCCACTGAGCCACCCAGGCACCCCCATCAGTTTTTCTTTTTTCTTTTCTTTTCTTTTTTTAAAAGATTTTATTTATTTATTTGTCAGAGAGAGTGAGCGCAGGCAGAGTGGCAGGCACAGGCAGAGGGAGAAGCAGGCTCCCCGCCAAGCACGGAGCCCGATGCGGGACCCGATCCCAGGATGCCGGGATCACGACCCAAGCCGAAGGCAGCCGCCCAACCAACTGAGCCACCCAGGCGTCCCCCCATCAGTTTTTCTTAATGTCCTTTTAATGACATAGGACCCGGCGTTACTTTTGGTTGTCACATCTCCTTAGGCCCTTCTGGGCTGAGACAGTTTCTCAGACTTTCTTGCTGTTGATAACCTGGGCAGTGTTGAGGAGAACTGGTCAGGTGTATTGTGGGAAATTGCCCAGCTGTGACTTGTCTGGTGTTTTTTCAAGGTTGGACTGGGGGTGACAGGTTTTGGGGGAGGACCACAGAGGTGAAGCAGCCTGCCCGGCACACGGGGTCCAGGGCACATGCCATCAGCGTGGCGTTTCACGGTGGTGTTGACCTGCATCACCTGGCTGAGATGGGCTCCATTGGGTGTCTCCACCAGAAGTCACTCTCCTCCCCTGGTCAGTGGGGTGCCCCCGGGAAGGAAGTCAGCGGTCACAGCCACACCTCAGCCTACATCTGGAGCAGGACCGGAAGAGCATACGCTCGGGGCTTTTTCCTTTTGTGGTTCATCTTGAGAGGATAATGTAGGGACATCAAAGAAACTTCTTAAAGTTCAAAATGTCACCCACAATCCTGCTCCCTTCACTCAGGTCTTTTATCTCTTTCTTGTTGTTAAACTACACACGCATTTCATTGTGTTGACCAAACACCTTGTTGTATAATGTCTTACTCTTGAGATGTTTTCAGTAGTGCATGGCCCTGGGTGGGTGACAGAGGTCATCTCCAGGCTTGTAGGAAGGCGCTGGCACAAGGGTTCTCACTCAGAGGCGGTTCTGTCCCCAGGAGATACCTGGAGACAGCTTCCTTCCTTCCTTCCTTCCTTCCTTCCTTCCTTCCTTCCTTCCTTTCCTTCCTTCCCGCCCATCTCTCTCCCTCCCTCCCTTCCTTCTTCCCTCCCTCCCTCTTTCTTTCTTTCCTTCTTTCTTTCTTCCTTTCTTTCTTTCCCTCCCTTCCTTCCTCCCTCCTTCCCTTCCTTTTTCTTCCTTCCTTCTCTCTCCTTCTTTCTCCCTCCCTCCCTCCCTTTCTCTCTCTCCCTTCCTTCCTCCCTCTTTCCCTCCCTCCTTCCTCCCTTCCCTTCCCCTTCCTTCCTTCCTTCTTTCCTTCCCTCTCTCCCTCCCTCTTTCCTTCCCTTCCCTCTCCTTCCCTTCTCTTCCTCTTTCCTCCCCTCCCCTCCCCTGCCCTCCCCTCCCCTCCCCTTTCCTCTTTCTCTGTCCACAGGGAATATCTGGAGAGAGCTTCCTTCCTCGCTTTCTTCCTTCCATTCTTCCTTCTTCCTTTCCTTTCCCTTCCCTTCCCTTTCTTTTAACAGTTTACTTACTTATTTGAGAAAGAGAGCACAAACGAGAGAGGAAGAGGGGATCTCAAGTACCAAGGAAAGCAGCGGCAGCCCCAGCCAGTGGGGCAGCTCCCCGTTCTGGAAATGCACAAGATAAGAGAATCTGTTCCCGCTGAGCTTATCGATATGGGGGCCAAGTCCCAGCGAAAGGGCCAGGGAAATTATCCAGGCAAGTGCAGTGCCCCTATGGGATCCAGACGATGGAGTTTCTCTTCCTGGGCAAGAGGCCGAGAAAATGAGCAGCACCAGCGCACACCCCACCCTCTGAGAGCACCTGCATGGGCCTCAAGGTACTCGCTGCCTTACAGAGTGGATTCTTCTAGCCTGCAGGGAGGCTTGGCCCAATGAGGAGGACCCCCTGAGCACGCGCCCTGGAAATCGATAGAAAAGGTACAGCAAATTCTTCTTTTTATTTATTTATTTATTTATTTTTAAAGATTTTATTTATTTAACAGACAAGAGATTACAAGTAGGCAAAGAGGCAGGCAGAGAGAGAGAGGGAAGCAGGCTCCCCGCCGAGCAGAGAGCCCGATGCGGGGCTCGATCCCAGAACCCTGGGATCATGACCTGAGCCAAAGGCAGAGGCTTTAACCCANAGAACCCTGGGATCATGACCTGAGCCAAAGGCAGAGGCTTTAACCCACTGAGCCAACCAGGCGCCCCCAAATTCTTCTTTTTAAAGATTTTATTTATTGGAGAGAGAGAGAGAGAGTGAGAGAGAGCAGGAGCAGGGAGGAGAGGGAGAAGCAGGCTCCCCTCTGAGCAGGGGGCCCTGATATGGGGTTTGATCCCAGGACCTTGGGGACATACCCTGGGCCAAAGGCAGATGCTTAACCAACTGAGCTGCCCAGGTGCCCCAAGAATATGGAGAATTGGAGGTTTTTCCTTCTCCAGTACCAGAGAACATGCTGGGCACAGACATCCTACGAGGCCAAAGGCTGCAAACCTCTAATGGTGAATTCTGGAGGCCAGCCATTGACACGAAAGAGGGGTACTGTCAAATGTTATAATTGCCCAAGGGGCCTAAAGAAAGAGGAGAGATGAGTCAAGCACTGCACCAAGTTGGTATGGGACACCTTGCCTCTAGTGCTTTCAACAGCTCAGTATGGCCAGTAGAGAAAATAGATGGCTCCTGGCGGATGACTGAGACTTGAACAAATTGTGGTCCCCCAACCACGTGGCTGTGCTCAACACTGCCACCATCTTGCATACCCTGCCCATGGCCCTAGGAGTGTATCATGCTGAGCAGGACTTGGCAAATGCCTTTTCCAATACACCCCTGGCCACTAGACGCAAGCTCAATTTGCCTTCATGTGGGAGGGACCCCAGTGGACCTCTCAACTGCTTCCCAAGGCTACTTGCCAGCCCCACCGTATGTCACAGGATGGATGGTAGCCCAAGACTGGCCCCTGTCCTCCCTCCCCACATCCGTAAAATGGGTCCATTACACCAAAGACATGATGCCGACATGTAAAGACCTGTCTCTGTTCAGGGACGCTCTGCAGACTTTGCTGGGACATCTGTAGGTGGGAGGATGTGTGGTGAACCTGCGGCAAACTCAAGACCCAGGCACCGCCATGCAGGTTGAGCCACTCATGAAGGGAAGGCATACCCCAGTAAGAACTTCTCTGCCAGGGCAAGGGGTGGGTTGAGAGCCTGTCCCATTGACTCACCTCTGCCTGGTTAGAACTCCCACTTTGACTAAGGCATGCTGACTTGTAGCAGTAGGGTACCCTACCTACCAGCCCACGGCATCTAGAAAGGAGGTGCTGCTAGGCCCCACGGAGGAGCTAGAGCCCCCAAAGATCCCCACCCCTATTCCTGTGGGGAGCCTCCGTGGCCCACAGGGAGCGAGGGGCACTTTTCTGCTGATGCCTGGCACGCAGAATGTTCTAGTCGGGGTAGCCTACCCACATGAGCTACCATCCTTAGGCAGTTTCACACTGACACCATCTGGACGGAAAAAGGAACAAACCACAGCCTCCAGTGGGTTCAGCTCAGAGCTGGTTTGGCCTATCACTCAGAAGCCCGCTTAACCCTTTGCACTGATAGTTGGGCTGTTTTAAAAGGATGAACCCCAGGGCTTAGACAAGGAAAGCTGAGAGGTGGGCGATCATGAACAAGCCTTTGTGGGGTCAGGGTATGTGGGAGGACATCTGTGTTCACCTGTAGGAGACAGAGGCATCCTCATTATCTTCCAGGTGCTGAACCCCCACCCCAGGCTCCCAGAATTCAGAGAGCTGATGCCCCAGCCCAGGGAGGAGGCCTGGCCACCATTCTTTCAGCAGATACCACAGACTGGGTATGTAGGAAGAGTGGCCACTGTGGCACCAGGGCGGGACGGTGTATTGCCAAGGATTGCCCTTGAAATACAGTGTCTTGGTTAATGGAATACCATGTACTCTATGTTCTAGAACAACACCCCAGGTAACTGCCAAAGGAGTCGTCGGGGGCCATCCACCGGAGTTCCCAACCAGTAAGGCATTGCCAAGTTTATTTTGTTGTCCCTTTCCTGCTGACGGTTCTTTTTTTTTTTTAAAGTTCATTTATTGAATCATCTCCACACCCAGAGTGGGACTTGAACTCACGACCCTGAGATCCAGAGTCACACGCTGTACTGACTGAGCCACTGAGGCGCCCCTGAGCAAGGGCTCTAACTATGGTTTGGTTTGTGAGGTCCATTATCTGGCCCAACCCAAGCTTTCCCCTGTCACCGAGGTGCAAAGCAGGCTGCCTCCCTTAAGGGATTAGAGACACTGAGTATGATGTATGGAAATCCTCATCAAGTGGACAGTGATTGGGGTCACGTTTTGAGGGTCATGGTGTGCAAGACTGGGCAGAAGAACAGGGAATGGGGGCTCCATCTCCCCGTTCAGCCATGAGCAGCATGGTTGGGAGAAAGGAAGAATGGACTATTAAAGCAGCAGGTTAAACTGCTAACAGGTAAAGCCAGCTTGGCAGGGTGGACAAAGAGACTGTCGCAGGCTTAAGGCATTGGAATGATCAACCCACCACCCCATCTGCCAGCCTGGGGACCCCTGACAAGGCACCCAATCCTGCAAAGCTGTTGGGCGTCTCCGGAGACAGCGATGGCCCTGACTCTTGCTGGGACCAGCATGCTGTGCTGTTGAGGACACCAAGCCCCATCCCACCAGGGAGAGGTGTTATCTACTGGAACTGACAACGGGAAGTCCCCCCGAGCTGCGTGAGTTACTTCAGTCTTCAGTCTCCACTGGGATCCTGTTGTCCTGCTATTAAGACCGATCTGTGGAATCCCACTAAACCTGGAATGGACCACACACCCCAGAAAGAGGGGAGAACACACAGATCCTGAACCTGTTCTGCCCCTCGTCCTGTCTCTTCACATCTCCCCTGGCCAACAGGTCAGGCCTGGTACGTACAACCCAGCCAGGTTCCTAAAGCGGCAGCCACATTAACAAGACTTCCCTGTACAAGTTTCTACTACATAGCTGTCTTTTTGGCCTTAGACTTGGCTGCCCCGGGGGTGTCCGGTCATGGGATGGGCACCCAAGGGAACTACCTTTCTACTGAGGACCCACTTGTGTACCTGGCAAAGGAGTCAATCCACACCTGTGGGGATTCGGGCAGCTGTCCCTCTTTAGCTTGTCAGGATTGCTGTGGTGGGTACCACTCCTCCAGGAAGCGGAGCAGAAGGCACACAAGCAGTTCATTAAGGAAGCATAAGCTAGGACAGGTGCTCCTAATTCAGCGGATATTACCAATACTGATCCAGAAATCTGGCCTATGGCACATCTCTGAATAACACTGGGCATGAAAGGAGGTGCCCAGATGGCTTAGTCATTGGGTGTCTGCTTTCGGCTCAGATCATGATCCCAGGGTCCTAGGATTGAGCCCCGAATCGGGCTCCCTGCTCAGTGGGAAGCCCGCTTCTCCCTCTCACATTCCCCCTGCTAGTGGTCCCTCTCTTGCCATGTCTCTCTCTGTCAAATAAATAAATAAAATCTTAAAAAACAAAACAAAACATTGGGCACTGGGTATTCTTTTTCTTTTGAGTGAATAAAACAGGCAGCTCATCCAAAGGGTCCTAAAAATACCACTATCAGAGCCATAGGTGGCTTCACTCCAATTTGGGATGGGTTCATGTGGCTTTCCCTGGATTACAGACAGTAGAGGACGCATGTACCTCAATGTGGGGAACAGAAAAAAAACAAAACAAAACACTCTAAATGGAACCAACCCAGGTACACCAGGGATATGGCATGGATGTCACTGTAACATAAATCCAAATGGGACCTAATGATGGTGTGGCTCAAATCTTTGGCTTGGCTTCCACCTGGGTCGTTGGGCCAGTTCACCCTGGGTTCTCCCAGCAATCTGCTCTGTAGTAACACAAGTTGACCGTCTCCCTCTCCTCGAGGCCAGATGGGCACGTTTTCCACTGGTATGACCGCTGGGCCGCCATGTTTGTTCCCTCCATTGGCCTGGAGGAAGTTATAGTGCGCAGAGACGCCCTTACTAAGTTCACTCTGTAAAGCCTTAAATGATAGCTAACAAAGCCTTTCCTACTAAACTGTGAAATATCTGTAATGAGAAAAGCTGCCTGCCAAATTAGAATGAACTCGGATTTATGACGGCCTTGCATGGAAGCACCTGCCCCTTTATCCAAGTTCATACCTGATGAGTCTGCTAATGTATCATCTTCATTAAAGCACAGGAGGACACAAGTGAATGTCCTGAGAGATTCCCACGCCCGCCCTAAGGGACTTAATAAATGAGCAGTTTGGATCATGGGAGTCCTGGTGGAAAAAAAATGGTTACTTATTTTGGGAGTCATTATCTCAATTTGTTTTTTTTTTTTT